TCAGCAGGACACGCGGCCCCTCCCCGAGGCAGGCTCAGCGCAGACCGGTAGTGACGAAAGCGGATGCAAGGGGGAGGAAGGGGTCCTTCCTGCGTCGGCGCTCAAGTTTACGTCAAGATCGCGGGGCTGCCTTTTAGGCGCCTCCATCCGTGGGAGGAATTTCAGGGCTAGAAGATCACGCGGAATTTCCAAGAAGGGAATAAGGAAGGACGCCCCATGACGAGATTCTCATTTCAAGGAGGAAAAAAAAAAAAAAAAAAAACCCTGGGGACAACGTTCCGTGGTGGCGCAGCGGTTAAGAATCCACCTGCTGATGCAGGGGACATGGGTTCGAGCCCTAGGTGGGGAAGATCCCACATGTCGCAGAGCAACCAAGCCCGTGCGCCACAACTACTGAGCCTGCGCTCTAGAGCCCGCGTGCCACAACTACTGAGCCTGCGCTCTAGAGCTCGCGTGCCACAACTACTGAAGCCCATGCGCCTAGAGCCTGTGCTCCCCAACAAAATAAGCCACCGCAATGAGAAGCCTGCGCATCACAACGAAAAATAGCCCCTGCTCGCCACAACTAGAGAAAGCCAAGGAGGAAAAAAAAAAAAAAAAAAAAACCTGGGGACTAGCAGGCATATTCTAGGGAGCCTTGAGCTAGGCGCTTCTGAGGCGAGTGGGCGGGACATCCTCTGCGGAGGCCCCTCGTTTCCGGTACGTCTACGGAAGGGGCGGGCAGCCTCCGGCCTGGGCGGAAGGCGTAGAGGAGGCTCGGTGTTTCCGCGCTGTTGGTCAATGTGGACCCCTTTCTGTAGTGGGCGGTGATAGCGGGACAGGACTTAGGTCTCCTTGTTGTGCAGGAAGCCGAGGAATGAACTTTTCTCGCTCAGATCCTCTAACGGGGCAAGGAGGGGTGGCATTTAGGGTTCGCCGTTATCAGAGGAGTCCGATTCCCTCGTTCCCGCGCGGGCCCGATGATCTCGTCCTGCACACCTTTCCTTGCAGCTCGGTTATGGCTTGTCGAACTCTGGGGCAAATTGGCCAACGTTGTGACACATCCTGGGGAGGAAGGAGGACCCTTTACTTGAGGGGAGTAAAGACATTACTTGAGGACGAACGGTATATAGTCATCCTTGGTCAGGTTCCACAAAGAAATCTCATTTATTTCCGCCATCTCCCCCAGGTTAGGTGCAGAGTCAAACGTGAATAAAAGCAAAGCCCTAATTGGGTTTGAGATTTTCACGAGATACGGAGATTCAGAGGTGTTAGGACAGCTTCGCACAGACTTAACAATAGAGTAAATCTTGGAGCGTAAAAATAGTCTTGTGACTATCCACCTAGCGAGTGGATATGACGGATGGGAGGTTGACACACAGGTTGGTGTCGACCCTTCATCCCCCATATAGATTGTAATACATCCTATAGCTCTTAGACCCTCTTGTCTCTGAGGACATTTGTTCACCGGTGTTCTGAATCGTCAGTCCGTGTTTTACTCAGGGTTGTTTTAATTGATGCTGGTTTGGATACCGTAGAAATGATTTCATTTTGGTTGCTTTGGTTGTCACTGCAGCACAAGGGAAGCCTTGTCTTTGTGCTTTGGTGACTCCATGTGTAAGGACTTCTCAGGCACTGACAATGCTGAAGTCCAGCGCATTCTCAGCCTCTTGAAAACCAGTTTCACTGTTTGACTATAGAGGCACCCATGAGAGAGAGTGCGGGCTGGGTCCCAGACCACCGCAATGACGTGTCACACGAGTTCTTTGTTTTCCCAGTGTATATAAAACTTAGGTTTGTATTATACTGGAGTCTATTAAGTGTGCAATACCATTGTCTTTAAAATGCACATTCCTTAATTTAAAAACACTTTATTGCTGAAAAGTGCTAACCATCATTTGAGGCTTCGGCAAGTCCTAGTAGTAATAGCAAAGATCACTGATTACCGCAGAAAATACAATAATAATTAACAAGTTTGAAATATTGTGAGAATTACCAAAATGTAACACAGAGAAACAAAGGAATCAAACGCTGTTGGGAAAACGGTGCTGATAGACTTGCTCCATGCAGGCTTGCCACAAACCTCGATTTGTTTAAAAAAAAAAAAAAAAGCAATATCTGTAAAGAACAATAAAGCGAAGTGCAAAAAACGAAGTATGCCTGTAATTCCTTCCCTTTGGGCTAGTTATCTCATTACGTTACCAAAACACACAAGTTGTTTTACTATTTATTTTCCTATTTACTGCTTGTTAGTTCTGGTGGTTCTTCCACCAGAGAACCACTAATGTCAGAAGAATGTGGATTGCTGGAGTGGTTGTCCCCTGGGCATGGGACAAAGAATGAGTAAGCAGGGGCTTCCCTGGCGCAGTGGTTAAGAATCCGCCTGCCAATACAGGAGACAGGGGGTTCGAGCCCTGGTCCGGGAAGATCCCACATGCCGCGGAGCAACTAAGCCCGTGCGCCACAAATACTGAAGCCCATGCGCCTAGAGGCTGCGAGCCACAACTACTGAAGCCTGTGTGCCTAGAGCCCGTGCTCTACAAGAAGAGAAGCCACTGCAATGAGAAGGCCCCGCACCGCAATGAAGAGTAGCCCCCGGGCTTCCCTGGTGGCACAGTGGTTGAGGGTCCGCCTGCCGGTGCAGGGGACGCGGGCTCGTGCCCCGGTTCGGGAGGATCCTACATGCCGCGGAGCAGCTGGCCCGTGAGCCATGGCCGCTGGGCCTGCGCGTCCGAAGCCCGCAGCGGGAGAGGCCACAGTGGTGACAGGCCCGCATACCGCAAAAAAAAAAAAAAAAAAAAA